AAAAAATAATAACAATAACCAATAAACAATAACAATAACAATAATAATAACAATAATAATAATAACAATAATAATATAATAATAATAATAATAATAATAATAATAATAATAATAATAATAATAATAATAATAATAATAATAATAATAATAATAATAATAATAATAATAATAATAATAATATAATAATAATAATAATAACAACAACAACACAACAACAACAACAATAACAATAGTAGTAATGGTAATAGTAATATTTATAGTAATAATAATAATAATAAATATAATAATATAATAATAATAATAATAGTAAATAATAATAATGATAATAATAACAATAATAATAACAGTGATGCCAACAATAATAATAACAAAAATATGAGGATGATAATAATAATATCATTATCCTGTTATCATTGTCAATATCATTATTAATATCATCACATCATCATCAACATCATCACATCATCAATATCATCACATCATCATTAATACCATCAATCATCATCATCATTCATTATTACTATTATCCCTATTATCGTTACCATTATATCATTAGTAGAACACAAATAGAATAATCAATAGAATCATAATAATCACAATAATTATTATCAGTATCATAAATATCATATGTAATAACCTCATGATGTAAGAGAAAAATGAGAAAGCAAAATCAAGGTGTCTTGATATTATAGATAAAAAAAGTGATATTATACCATTGTTGATAAAATATAATATATGCAGTATATGTATGTACATGTTTTTATGTTGTAATATATGTATGAATGTGGACAAGTATACACAAGGCATTCCTGACAAAATAGGAATCAGTACATAATATCCCCACATCACAGAGGACTATATCTATCACATACTGCACACATGATGGTTAAACAAAGCACCAATATTTTAACCCAGTTTTTTTCAGTCTCAATTTCGTGGACCAAGAAGTGGGTCATCAAAAGGTTCACTTGTTGATGTTAAACTAGTCTTAGACTTTGATGTTGACATTTTTTTAACAGCACTAGGCTCTGCTTTTACTGCTTTTCCTGTTGAACTGAATATGTCAACTGAAAGAGAAAAACATTATTATTCAACTGATGATGCTAGTTATGGCAATTACAAATATGGCATTTGTTTGACAGTATTAACCTGAATTCCTAGTACCTTTCTACCAATGAAGAAATATGATAACTTATTATGTCTGTCATCTTTTTAGATTCAGTAATTACTTGTTGCGAATAGTGAAATGGTGTCAATAGGTATAGAATAAGAACGCTTAATAGAAAAAATTGAATTACTGATCAGTGAGAGATAATTATATGTAGGTACTATAAGTTTAATTTGACGTCATAATTTTCATATTGCTCCATGCTCCCCAGAAAGTACCCTGCGGCCCCCATGGGGGCCGTGGACCCAAGGTTGGGAACCCCTGTCCTAGACTTACCATCATCATCTCCAAAGAGGGACTGAGAAACAACAGGCTTGCTCTCCTTCTTAGAGACGTCTGGCTGTACAGCTGACTTTGAAGCTTTATGAGATGATAATTTGGAGTTTGATGCTCCAAACAGATCTTCATCACTGTCATCATCTCCGAACAATGATGATGGTTGAGACTTATCAGGCTTTACAAGGTTCTGGGATTTTCTAGTATATGAGGCATTTTGCAATTTGCTAAAAAGGTCTTCTTCAAGTTCACCCTGCACTTCAGCTTGTTTGCTAGGTGTGGTGTTACTCCCATTTTCTACCTCATGTGTTTGGTGAATCTGCTGAACACTCCTCTCAATTCTATTTACATTTTTTGCTTTATTTTCTCTAAACATATCATCCTCATTCTCACTGCTGGAAAAGATCTGATCTTCAACAGGAGGGTCACTATGAGAGGGACTTTCAATTGCTGCATCCTTTTCATTTAGCTTTCTAGTGTTTGTTTCTTGAGGTACAGGAACTCTATCTGATGGTGTTTGTGCAACTGAAGGAATGGTCAATGTATTGGTCTGGGAACTGTCTATGCAGCACCTTTTCTGTGAGCTCTGCTTGGAGGTCTTCTTTTAACACTTCCTCTTACTCGACTCTGGGTAAAGAACAAGTTTGTAAACTTATCAGACCACCAACAATTCACCAAAGTATATTATGAAAATATGTGAAAAACTAAAATAAAAGAACTTACCTTATTCAAGCTTTCTAAAGTGTTTGTTGTTGTGACTGGCTCATCAAAACTAATGCTATTCTCCTGCCCACCAAACTTCACCCCTAAGCTTGGCAAAGTGGATGCAGTTGTGTAGGTTTTACAACTGTTTTTGAGGCTGGAGACATCTTTGGCACTTTTCTGTCTTCCTTCACAATTTCAACTGAGTGGGTTGGTGCGCTGGCAGACCCAATCTTGGAATCTCCATCACTATCACTCTCTGTCTCCCCTAACATACTCTTCCTCTGATTCACTTTAGCAAAGAGTTCACTGCCACCTAAGCCTCCCCTCCAAACATGGAAACTCCCCCTACTG